TTTAGGATGTTTTGTAGCACAGGATTGGCTTTGGCAAAATCTCTTAGCTTCTGTTTATTCTAGAATGTTTTGATTACACTCTCGTATATGATTGATAGCTTTGCTGGATAAAGAATTCTTGTTTGGCAGGTTTTTTTTTTTTTTTTTTTTCTTTCAGGGTTTTATATATGTTTCCCCATTGCCTTCTTGCTTACATGGTTTCTGCTGAGAGGTCCGAGCTCAATCTGACTTGCTTGCCTTTTTATGTAACACTTCTCTTTTCCCTAGGTGTTTTTAGGAATGTCTCCTTATCTTTGATTTTGGAGAGCTTGATTATGATATGTCTCAGTGATTTTCTTTTGGGGTCTAACCTTCCTGGAGTTCGTTGAGCTTCTTTTTTTATCTTGTCACTTTTCAGGATGTTAAAGAAATTTTCTTCTAGCACTTCTTCAACTATTTCCTCTGTGGACTTGTGTGATTCCTCTTGTTCTAGAATGCCAATAATTCTTAAGTTATTCCTCTTCATGTTAACCAGCATGAAGCTTAGACTCTCTTCAGATTTTTTTTTTAATCCTTTTTTTCTGTTTGCTCTTGTATCTTAGTAATTGAGAGATTTGTCTTCCAGCTCACTGGTTCTGCCTTCCATCTCTTCTATTCTACTCCTTTGCCCTTTCAGTGCATTGTCTATTTATGATATTCTATTATGGATCATTTGGACCTCTTTCTTTAGGTTTTGAATTGTTTCCAATGCTTTATCTGTTTTATTTGTTCCTGTAGCATTTTCCTGACTTCTTCCTTATTTTTCTCAACTCCTTTTAAAGTATTTTGAAACATTTTATAATCATTTTTCTGAATTCCTTCTCAGGAATTTCTAAGGCCTCCCCTCCTTTCAAAATGGAGTCTAGGTCTACTTACAGGTCATTTGTTTCAGACATTTTATCTTGTTTCTGGACATGTGCTAATATGGCCATCTGCTTTTGCTTCTTGGACATGTTTAATGTTTATCTGTGACCTTAATACTTAATTGAGTATGTGTTTTGTTAATTTTTTATGCTTTCTGTTTGCCTCTGGGTAGATGTGATCAGGATGTGGGCTTCCCTTTTCACTCTTCTAATTGCTTAACTCAGAGTAATTTTCACAGATGTTGTCTGCCTTCCTGGTACATGGCAGTTCGTATTGGTTCTTGCTTGGGTTTGGTGTTCTATAAAGTGTGATTGTAGCTTGACTATATGGCAGCAGTTGCTGACTCTTCTTGGGTAGTATAGGGATAGAAAGAGTCCCCCAAAGGTATAAGGGGGAGCATAAACCAGCAAAACAGCAGCAGCAAAAAAGAAAAACAAGAAGAAGAAGAAGCAACAACCCATAAAAACAATGACAACAAGAAAAAATAAAACTAGGTTCAATACTGTAGTCGATAATCACAGAAAAGGGACAGGAGGGAAAGAAGGAAAAAAAAATTTGTTGCCTAATATGAGTATGACTTTAATGTCTTCAGCTTCTTGCCTTCAAAGCTTCCTGAGAGATTTCAAGTTGCCACTGTTGGTTGTTATGCTGTAACTCAGGATTTAATTTAATTTTCGGGCTGTTTTGTTTTTAAACTCTCTTTCCCTCTCTATAACCCTGTCCTGGCCTTTTCCATATTTGAAAAATAAAACAAAACAAAAAAATGGTTCAAGGCCAGCTCTTGGGCTGAGAGTATCTGTGCGCATGTGTGGCAGAAGATCCCACCAGTGGTGAGGATGGGGGGTGTCCACTTGTTCAGGCTCCCCCTCTAGTCACCAGAATGGAGGTGCGCAAACCATGGGGGTAGGCCTATGAACAGATACCAAAAAAAAAAGAAAGAAAATCAGAACAAATCAAAACCGACAAAGTGTATTGTCCACCTTTGCTCCAAGGTTCCCGTGGTGTTTTTCTATGGTGTGTGTGCTCCCCTGCTTAGTCTTGCCATTTGGTCTCACCAAGTTGTGGGCTCCGTGCTGCCAAGCCTGGCAGATTCAAAAGTATGTGATTTCTTACTTCCTCTTCAATTTCCACTAGCAGTTAGCCTTCAAACTTTTTAAATATTCGTACTTAATGTGATTCTGAGATTTGGAGCTCTGCCCTGGATCTGCTTTGCCTGGTATTCTGTCGTATTGCTGATGGCAAACTTCACTGCACCTCCACCCTAGCTGCCATCATGCCACGCCTCCTCCCCAGTATCACAGCAACTCTTTGAGATGGGTACTGTCATCTCTGTTTTTACAGTTGACACAACTGGAATGCACAAAGGATAAATAATACCTAAAGGTCATGGAGCTGGAGTTCTAGCCATGGTTTAAATGCAAGTATCTTTCAAATTGTGGACTGTGAAATCATTTGCAAGTTGCATATGATATTTTTATTGCTATTATTAGTGAATAGAATGGAAAACTCCAGAGTGTATCACATGTAGTATGGGTAACTCTTGATATCAAACTTATGATTTAGTTATATATTCATTTATACACATATGTGTGTACACACTTTCCTCTGTGTCTCAATGTAAGCAGCATTTCTTAATGTCGTCACCAACCTTGAAAGTAAATATTGTTTCCTTGGGTGGGAAGGCAGAGAATGAGATAGAGGAAGAACAAGAGCTAGAGATGAATGAGCAAATGCATGAATAGCTGTCAAAGAAGGAGAGACTGTGGATGGTGAGACCCCAAGATGGAGGGTAGAGAGAGAGATGTTCTGCAGGTGTTCTGCCCACCATTCCACTAAGTGGACACTGGACACTGATGGCACTTTGGAGTCTTGAACAGTTGTCCTCTCAGTGGATTTTAGTTTTCACGTACTTTGTCATTCTGAAAGTGAGTCTGATAAAGGTACACTAGACAGAAAATCGGAGCCCTGGTGGCACAGTGTTTAAGCACTGAGCTGTTAACCAGAAGGTCCAAGGTTCTAAACCACCAGAAACATATGGCAGTCTGGTTCCACAAAAATTGACAACCTTGGCCACCCTATACGGTAGTTCTACTCTGTCCTGTAGGGTCACCAGGAGTCAGAATTGACTCGATAATAACAGGCCTGGTTTGTTTTTCTTACAGAAAATAGCAACAGTTAGGTGAGAAGCAAGTGCGTGTTGTTCTACCTTAGAAGGGTAGTTTTCTTTGTAAGTCAGACGATGGCACAGAGACTGAAATGTCCACTGTTTTAATGTGGTCAGATATCTATCATTATATGATTACCTCTTCTTCCTCCCCAAGGATAGTTTTTTTCTATTTCTAGGTTCCAATGGAGTCCTGGTGTGGCACCGTGGGTTAATGTGCTAGATTGCAAAGTCAGTTTGAATTGCAAGGTTGGTAGTTCAAGCTCACTAGTCGCTGCTTGGAAACCCTATACAGGGTCTCTATGGGTCGGAACCGACTCAGTGGCACTCAGCAACAATGAACAAATTAAGGCACCCTGGTCATGCTGTGGGCTAGGCATTGGGTTACTCACCACAAGGTCGGTAGCTCAAACTCGCCAGCCGCTCTGTGGGAGAAAGATGAGGCTGTGTCTACTCCTGCCCATAAAGATTTAGTCTCAGAACCCCTATATAGGGTCCCTAAGAGTTGGAATTGACTCGATGGAAGTGGGTGTGTTACTTTTTATTAGCAAATTCAGTTAATATCATTATGCTCTTTGTGACCCCCTTTTTTTTTTTTAGCCTTTCTCTGAAGATTATTAGAGTACAAGCTTTAGTTTTAGTTATTAATAATGTTGCACCAAATAATTTGGGTAGCCACTTCTTAGCACCAGTGTGTGTATACTTTTAAAAACATAAATACATTCTGTGTGTGAATTGAACGAGTAGGACCGACCAACCAGAGTGTACCACATTTCAAAAGCCTTCCTAACGTGTTAGAAAAGAATTGTAAAGTTTTGTGCTATTTGCCAAAATGTCATTGTTACAGATTCTGTTCATATTCTATGGTCTCACCACTAACATTTTCTTTTAAGAAATATCTAGAAAGAATGGTGGCCCAGCTCCACTCCAATTACCTCTGCTAAAACATTATGTAGCTTGTGTGATAGGTTCCTGCAGCTAGGGTTTCTTGTTTTGCTTTTGCACCTAATTTTGTTGTTGTTAATGCTGTCAGGTAGAGCTACCCTTTATAGGGCTTCTGAGGCTATCGTTGTTGTTGTTGTTGTTATGTGCTGTGGAGTCGATTCCAACTCATAGCGACCCTGTACAGGGTTTCTGAGGCTGTAAATCTTTATGGGAGCAGAACTCCTCATCTTTCTCCCGCGGAATAGCTGGGAGTTTTGCGGTGCGTTGAATGACTTCCGACTCATAGTAACCCTGTGTATAACAGAATGAAACATTGCCTGGTCTGTCAGTATCCTTACAATTGTTATGTTTGAGGCCATTGTTGCAGACACTGTGTTAATCCATTCAATTGGAGGTCTTCTTCTTTTTCACTGACACTTTACCAAGCATGATGCCCTTCTCCAGGGACTGGTCCCTCCTGATAACATGTCCAAAGTACATAAGATGAAGTCTTGCTGTTCTCACTTATAAGAAGTATTTGGCTGTATATCTTCTAAGACAGATTTTTTTTCATTCTTCTGGCAGTCCATGGTGTATTCAATATTCTTCTCCAACACCATGATTCAAATGCATTAACTCTTCTTTGGTCTTCTGTATTCATTGTTCGGATTTCACACGTATATGAGGTAACTGAAATACCTCAATTACACCTAAGTCTCCTCATTTGTAATAAGGATTTATGCCTCTAAGTATAAAGACTTTAAATCAGATAGTCTTCTCTTGTTTCATTGTTTTGTTTTTCTACCTACAAAATGTGGAGTCACCCCTGTGTTGTTCTGCTGACTTCTTTTTTGCTGAATGTCAATTATACCAGAAAGCTAAGATTTGGCTTTACACTCCATGAAAACTTTGTCATTGTCAACAAAATGCACATCTCTGAGAAAGCAAAAAGAGTGAGGTGGGCGGATCCTAACCTCATTATAATTTTAAAAACTGTTAGGACCTGATTGTTGTTTATTCTTTATTTCAGAGATCCCAGAAGACCCACTTGTGGCTGAAGAATATTATGCTGATGCATTTGACTCCTGTTCTGAAGAGAGCGAGGAAGAAGAGGAAAAAAGACTGCTGTCAGGATCGGAAGAAGAGGTGAAAGATGAGGAGCTCCCACCCACCAGCAGAACAAACCAGCAGGTACGTGTTGTTCCTCAGCAGAAGTGGAACTGATTGGTCTGTGACCTCCAATCAAGTCATAAGGTAGAGTGGAGATGGAGGATTGATAAGTCTTGATATACGAGGTTCCAGGGGCAGGTAGGGCACTGCAGAAAGTGGGACCAACCATCCCTACACTACACTCTCTGTTTAGCTAAGTTTGATAATTCATCACAATGGTCATACAGAACTCGGGCACCATATTCACAGTTACCAAGTGTATTAGGAAAGTGCTCAGGTTATAATTCAGCATCAGATGTCCTCAGGACACAGTTTTTCCAGTCAGGACAACTCTCCTTAGCTATGCCCACAGACAGGCCTCTCTCTGGTCCTTGGCCTCTGCCCTGTTGTTCCAGCTATGTTAAAAATCTCTCTTAGGGTTGCTGTAAAATGCCCTAAAGGCACTCCATTCCACTATCAGCCTTAGGCTGAAGGCACTTAGCTCCAGCCCCTTGGATCAATAAACCTAGCTTACCCAGTTAAGTGCCTGAGGCACCCCACTACACAATCGAGCTCCAACTCTGTGGACTGGGAAGCCCAGGGCTATCTTTGGTGCTCTGGCTCTTCATTCTGTTGGCTGCCGCTTTTCTGCCACTGTTTGGGTGCCACAGCTCTCTGTCTCTAGGTCAAGGAGGTTCAGTGTGCAGGGACCTCAGGGTGTAAAACATATGCTTCACTCCTTGATGGTATTAAAGTCCCCCTCCCACCTTTAAAATGGCTCATTTTATGCCCACATTAGACATCCAAGGTTTTGTAATCACAATTAGCACCCTGTTAACAGTCACACCCAACTGAATCATATAACCTGTCAGTCAACATCTTCCCCCACCGTCTCTTACCCAGACCCTTCAGGAAAGTGTAGTTTGGTGGCAGTTGCAAAGCCTGTGGCTAGAAGAGTCCTATGAAGTAGGTCCCTGCACTGTGAGCACCTTAGAATTCTGAGGCTCTGGGTTGGACATATCAAGGAAGGGGGAAGGGCAGCATCAAGTTTGTGGCTACAGCAGACACTGCCTGTTGGGGAGCAGGGCTGGAGGTCACACTGAGGATCATCCCACATACAAGGGGGATTCAAAAAAATCATGGAAAATTCCATTATCTTTTCATTCAGTTTTCTCACAAACTTTCTCAAGCCTCTCCATATAAGTACAGTCAGTCCTTGGATTCCAAAGGAATGCCATTCCATAGTGTGTCTTTAAGTCTAAGTTGTACCTAAGTAGGAAGAGTTAGATGTGGTCTTGAGGTCAGTTACTCACATCTCTCTCTTAGTATGCAGTGTACCTTTCTGTTCATAAAAAAACATGAAAGATACACTAAAACATCTTTAACATAATAAAGTAATAATGTTTGATACACAACAGTTGCTAAGTAGCACTGGCTTTTTATTATAAACCATTCTCTTCACAAGGGTTACTTCCTAACTCAGGTTGTATTTTAGGTGGATGTTGATAGTCTGCTTGTATTGAATCAGTGGTGCAACTGGCTACTTAACAGGGAGAAGGGGAGATTTTTTTAATCATTCTGACTGGTAATCAGATGATGGAAACTTAATTAGGGTGGGATTTTTTGAGAGAGGAGGAATCCTGGTGGTTCTGTGGGTTAAAACATTGGGCTGCGAACCACAAGGATGTTGGTTCAAGCCCACCAACTTGTTGAATAGTTATTCTTCTTATTCCCCAGATGAGGAAACTGAGCTTCAAAGAGAGAAGCAGCTTGCCTGTGGTCACGCAGCTAGGGAGGGGTCAGAAACATGCTTCAAGCCCGTGCCTATCACCCAATGCAAGCTTTTTCTTAGAAATTTGATATAATTTCTCCCTCTCCAAAGGTGGTAGGCATGGGGTTGTGATGAGTGTTGGCTCTCCCTTTAGATTGTTGAGCAAACAAAACACAACAGCTAATGAAGGCATTGCTGAGACCCTCATCACCTTCACTCTCTGAATTGGGTGAGCTCTGTGTCCATCTCCGGAATTGGCTGCTTTTCCCCAACCCCAGTCTTGTCCCTTGATCCCTGAGTGTACCATGGTCAGCTCCGGCAGTCCTCATATGGTGACTTTTATCTGAGTTCATTCCCACTCTTCCAGCTGGGGCAAAAGTCACAACATTTTTACTTTGATGAGAGAAGAGGTTCAAGCCAATGATTTCAAAACGAAAAACAGCCAGGGGCTTCATTGTGATTGATTGCTGAGTCCCTTGCTCTACCCATGACCTTTTCAGTAGCAGCATCTCCAAAGCAATTTTATTAAGCACCTAATTGCTGTTGATTGACAGTTGTTTCTCTGCTATGATGAGCAGAGCATCACTAACACCGTTTATCACAAGCCATTATCACATTGTTGATAGCTCTGCTGGGAAGTCTGTAGACAATGAATTGGAACTGCCCTCTTAAATCGTGGAAGAATGCTGCTGATAGCCATCATCATAGCAAGATTCCTGGCAGTATTTGGGGGACCTGTCACTGAAAATGGTTCCATGCGTTCTCATGGACAGTTTTTAGGCCTGCAGGCTGATGGGTGGTTCTGTAGACTCTTCTGTATTTTCCCTTATTGCTTTGACTATCTTTTACCTCTCTGAAGCTAAGTTTCAGTAAAAGACATGCTGTGTGGACAATTTTGACTTTGGCACACAACTCCTGTGCCATTGAGTCGGTTCTTGCAACAACCCTTTGAGGTTTTCTAGTCAAACTGCATCAAACTAGAGTTTAACTGGCTGAAATTCAAATGTGAAAGAAGGCAAGTGAGCATGAGGGAGATGAGGTGGGGAGAAAGGAAGACGGCTTGAGTTAGGGATACTAGGGATAGTTATGATACTTAGTGGAGGGCTCTTTGGGACCACTGTGTGTGTTCTTGTTAAGACGAAGGACTGCAAAGACTCATTTCCCCAGTTCATTTTTAATTTTTTTTCCTCCAAATCCTTTCATGGTGTTGAAATTTTCTTTGCATTGTGAAGCATTGAGAAAATCAGTAGTGAGCTTCTGCTTGGTACATTGCCACAGAGGCAGAGAAATAGATTTGGGGTGTGCAAGGCCAAGATTCTCCTGAGGACTCTCAGTTCAGATCATTATGAGGATAAGTGCCTCTAGGAGCACCTTCTGAAAGTGGAGGCATTAGTTTCATCATGTTGCAATGATTGTATCAATAACAGCCAGCATCTCCAGAACTGCCTAGGGCTTTCCCTGCTGTGTCCCTTTCAGTCCTCAGTGAAGCCCAGATAGCAAGATACAGTTAGAAATAAATACCTGTGAAGTAATTGGGGAGACCCTCAAACCATGCTGCTCGTCTGACACCTTTGAGTGCCTCAGACTTGCAGTGCAGTTGGGTAACAATCTTGGCCAGGCTGATCGGGAGTTCCAGGGCAAAGATTCCTCCCACAGATGACTGCATTGGGTAAGAATGGCCTGCCTCCAGTATCCCCAACAGACTCTACATTCTTATTGGCTGGGAGCAGTCCAAGACGAGTGGACACTGCAACAGACCCCAAAGATATGCTGTCAGCTGACAACACCTCTTGAATCAGATTTTTTTCTTGAAAGGAGCTTCAAAAAAGTGCTACATTGACTGCCACAGGTGCATTATTTCATTAAATTCTTGCAACAACCCTTTGAGGTTTTCTGGTCAAACTGCATCAAACTAGAGTTTAACTGGCTGGAATTCAAATGTTGAGAGAAGGCAAGTGAGTATGAGGGAGGAGATGAGAGTGGGAGAAAGGAAGATGGTTTAAGTTAGGGATACTAGGCAAATTTGCCTGACATTTCATTCAAAAGACGAAGGCTGCTCCGGAGCGAAAATGAGCTTGAGAGAGCCATAAATCTAGAATCCAGCCACCGCATCTCAGAGTCTGTGTGTGTCTCAGGCTGTGAACCTCTCTCCTGGCTCTGAATTACTGCTGTAGACTTAATAGTGTTTAAAGATTCATGTTTTTCATATGATGCAGTCCCTATATGCTATTTCATTTGATGCTCAGTAGGGAGGTAAATAGCACTAGAGAGAGTTTTCTGATAAATTATTATTTCATTGGACACTGATTTTAAAACTCAGCTCCCCTGATTGACGAGAAGCTGTTAGGATAATCTTTGCACAAGAAGAATCTTAGGCTTAGTGAGGTGAAGTAACTTCTTCAAGGCATACAGCTATGAAGTAGCAGAGCTAGACTGTCTGACTCTATTTTTAGTCCCTTTTTTACAGTCTTGTCTCTCCACACAACAAAGAGAATTCCTCCTCCTTGTGGATGATGGAGTCAAACACCTTAGGTGTGAAGGAGTAGCCTGAGGAACCATTGTATTACTTGTTCCTTGCCAGACTTGTTTTTCTGTGTACAAGGCAAACTATATACCGGTCTGGGAAATTGTTAGGTTATAAAAATCTTAAAAAAAGAAGAAACCTCCTTTCACATCTGTTACCGGTTACAGATTTCTCTCCTCCTACTGTGTTTTTTTTTAATACAAGATACCAGAACTCTTGAGTGCAAACAGTGGAGCTGACTTAATTTGCTAATTTGACTTGACCCAATTAATTTCGCTGCAAACACAAGAAGAAACACTTTTTGTCTCGAATTTACTTTAGAGGTCATTGGTTCCAACAAGCAGCCAGCTGGGCTGTTGACTCATTTCTCCATCAACCTCTTCTCCTGTGTCCCAGGCAAGAAAGCAGCCATCCTTGTTAAAGCATTCCTTCCAGGTAGCAGACCTTCTGTGGCCCCAATGTAGTTAATAATAACATATCATTATTGGTTTAACAAATGTACCACACAAATGTTGTTGCTGTTAAGTGCCGTCAAGTTGGTTCTGACTCATAGTGACCCTGTATAGGTTTTCCAAGACTTTACATCTTTGCGGGAGCAGAAAGTCTCATCTTTCTTCTGAGAGCAGCTGGTAGGCTAGAACCACCAACCTTGTTCACAGTCCAATGCTAGTTGTATGGAGCCACCACAAATGTAAGAGGCTAATAATAGTGTGCAGAGGGGCAGGGAGTAGGTGAGAACGCTGTTTT